GCATGCATGACAACACCCTTGTTTGAGTTAGTAATGTGGGGATAGTTACTTTTGAAACAATTAGATCCCTTTAGTAATTTGAATAAAGCCGTAAGAAGATGAACACTAGCAGATGTCAACATTTCGTATTGTCTCTTCAGTACCAACACAATAACATGAAAATATATAAGACGAGAGGAAGGGTGAGAACGGAACAAGTTAGAACAGGTTAGGGGGTAGGCGTGACACCCGTGCGCCCAGGGCAGCCGTAGGCTTACGAACAACTGTTTCTGCACGCAGAATGAGGGTTTCAAACGGCTGATCGCGACTGCCTCTGCGAAACGTAGGAAACGGATGTTAGCATGTCTTAAGACGATGGTAAACATTTTGGCCGGACCAAACTGATAACAAGTTGTCAGTAAATGTCGTCCTATGCATCAAACAGGTGGCTTACGTGAACTGGTAGTATGAGCAACCGACTACTGGGTGATTTGACATGGTAAGCATTTAGGTACATGTTCCCTTATTCTGGAGTTCAACCATCTCTCTGTACGGCTGATATAGCGTATACCACAACTATAAGTAAATTGGTAAATACAACGTGAGTTGGCGCCAATAGGTTGCCCTTACGTCATTGTGGCAACAGGTATTCGATTAGTCAGGTTGGTAAGAACAGTTTCAGCAGCATAATAAGTTCTCTGGACTTCGGAAGTTATGCGCTACGTTGTCCTCATATCGACAAAATCACCCTTAAATGGTAGCTCGATGTAGACCTTTTTAGACACTGTCGAAACCTGTCCCGGCACCGTCGTCTGACTACGTTTGTCGATGAATCTTCTTGGATAGTTACTCTTGCCTAAGCAAAATGTTGGCACATTGTGATGTTCACGAGTCAAGTGATGGATTTGGAATTTTGAACTAGACTCTCGAACTTGATGATGGGAGTCGTGCGTATACCTTATGTTTGCTCAACACACGTAGGCTATAAGACAATTATATTGTATTACTAGGCCACTGTAGATTTGCTGTACTTAGGGCTTAGTAGGCAGGTAGCGCCTTACTAGTCGACAGATGCTTGAAGAGAAAAAGCACTCATGGGTATACTACTTGGACGACACGAAATATGTGCGTTATTGTACCGGGTAGAAATCTGTTCACGGTATTAGAATAGAATCATTTTTGGACCGCACCATGATTGTTCTCAAGAGAATGTCAAGAGGCGTACTGAAGTATTTGGCGTGCATGCGCCAGAGTGCAGTTTTAATGTGTTTAGCTATTCAGCGTATACTCAGCCAACTAACAATGTCGACGTGTTTAGGCTTGGCTGATAACAAGAACATGTTTCAGTAATGTCCAACATGCGGTACTGCGCTAATGTAGTTCTGCACAGCAGACCAATGTGGTCAGTGCTTCGACTCAATTCGTTAGGTATGGAGATGACTGAAATCACTGAGTGATGTCAAGGCAATCCATGCGGACAGTAAGGGCCGACTGGAAAATTGCATGATACAACTTGTGTAGTGCTAACGCGTGAGCCAGTAAATCATTAGTCATAACACACACGTGACAAGCAACACATGGTATACTTGAACATTACAATGCATGGTGTACCTAAACAACAACAGCCACTGAGCCGGCGGTGAAAGCGGGTGGCGTTGTAGTGTCTTTCGGCTGCATGCATGTTGGGATCCCGTAACTATACCCCTGTCATGTGAAAAATCGCCGCTCATTGCTTCAACTTTGAGCTGGCGCCGGACCATGCAGCTTCCTCGGATTCTTGTTCCCATAACGATTATTTCTGTTTAGGAACCTGACAAGAAGCCACAACTAGGTGATTAATTCGCAGCTTGTTAAAGTTCTCTCAAATGAACAAGTCTCCGTCGCCACTGCTAGCTGTGAGGGACTGAACACATCGCCGTGTGGTTTGTCCTACACATCCCTTAGCACGCTCGACAGTAAACTTGTAAACGAGCTCCACAGCTGTGCTGGTCTGGGAATCTACTTGAAATACGAAAACCCAATTGACCGGATTTGATTATTGTTGGCTGTATCTAGGCATGATTGTGTTCTGGTTTATGGAAGAAAGTGAGGATTTGATAGGAGTGTCCGCAACTGAAAATATCTCTATGCTTCATTGAGCTTTGCACTAGAACGTGAAACATTAATTGAACCAGAAGTGTGGGCGATGCTTGTCCCTGCACAACCGGCAGGTAGAGTAAACACCGAGACTACAATGTCGAAACAACAACAATGAGGATGGCCGCAGCCCCATCACCCATGCAATGTTGCTTATGAGGTTTTATCTCGAATGGAAACTCTTGGATCCGTTTACATTGCATATAGGATTACCAAAGGAATTTCCAAGTGGTCATTTGATACCCTTAGTACGATAAAATGAATACGACTTTTGTCCCTTAATCTCTTTGGTTGTTATAATAGCAATGAACAGCAACGCTTGCTAAAACAATGACCCACATTGCTCTCATTCGATCTCACAAATTAGGATATATCGTAAGCGCTAAACCTTGTCACGGCACATGAATGAGGTTTGACAGTGCCGGCTGCAGATTTCTTGAGTACTCACATTCCAGGTTTGCTTCAAAGTAAACGGTGGCCTCAACTGAGACTGAGTGTCGCAATCCAGACACACGGTGTGTACTCCAACTTCCAACAAGGAAATTACATTCCAAGTAACTATAACCTCGACCGAATGTGGATTAGATGAAGTCGCACCAGCAAAACATGAATAGAATCATCGGCGGTATCGGAGTTGCGGTCAACTAGACATAATCTTGAGAAATTGGTCGTATACGTTTCGCCACCATGCAAGGTTGTATCTTCGGCACGGTGATGATCGATGGGCAGTCAGACAGTCATTGTCACTTCACTGACGGGTGACCTCAAACAAACCGGACACAGACTGTTTTGATTGTCATACCGTACACTAAGTATGCCTCAACCTGCAGCCAGAAGTTCCGCCTACCGTAGCTAGGCAAGTGCCTACCAACTCATCATGCAAGAGCTATGCTATCACTGGGGGGTAGATAACGTCATTACGGTGATGGCTATGACCAAATAGCTTTAGCTAAAATGCTTTGCATAAGGTTCGCAAATGAAGTTATTATATCTGTGTGTGTGAAATGGAGTACATTATCAGGTTATTTGAGAAATAGCACGTTGTCTACAGCAGATAAAAAGATCAGTGAGTCTTGGCTGTAGAACCATGTGAACAAGGAAAAGCTGCTCAAGCTGAGAACCCGTAGAGACATGTCATTGAAACATAAAGAATGTAACTGGTCTCATTCCTAACAGAGCTCATTTGAAACGAATTCTCGCTGGTATCCCATAGAGGCCGGAGATGAGCTCGTCAAAGTGAAAAAAGGATGGGGTATTCGTATTTTATCCTGTCCTAGTCAACGATAGGACTCATCCGTTAAATAGAGCTAGGTTACTGATCATGACGTGAAATGGCTGCCTTAAGCGGCCGTCAGACTCATAGGATGCGTGGAATATTGCCATGGCACATGAAACTGCATAACACAGAACAAATTGTAGTTCGCTCCGACTAGTTCAATGTGATTCTAGCACTGTGAAGTGATGGGTTCAAATATCATACTCTGATTGCTATGCCAAGAATAATTGTGTTGATAAGTCTAAGTGGAGGTGAAAAACGCAAACCAACCAACAGCTAAAAATGTGATAGGAGTCGGACGAGTAAGGGCTACAGCCGTCGGGTGGACATACTGCCCATAAAAAACACGTTTGACTGCAAGATCGCCACTGACCGATTGATAACTCTCCGCGGGATAAATTCGACAACCATGAATGAGTCTGATCCCCACGCCCCCATCTAGTTAGACTGCATGCACCAACCCACCCAAGTTTATTGATCAGTTTTTTCCGCCCATTTGAAGCTTTGCCAATTGCTCATCCTAAGCCCTCATGCTTCATGGCGTGATTTGTATACTTGGCGATGTAGGCGACGGGTAGGCACGAAATGAACATGATAAAGCAGCGTGCGAAGTTCTCGTGTGTAGCACTTATTTTTCACTGACCAATCTTAGCAATGCTCACTCGGTTTCATCTCCAAGTATATGCACTGTAACGCAGACACCGATAGTCAAAAACAACAGGCTCCTCAGTGTCATCGATTCACAGTGGTCTCGTCTCTGTACTATATAGTTGCACTGCTCCATAGGACAGAGGGACAGTTTATTTGACCAAGGTCCACTGACTTACAGAATTTACATACGATGCAGACCCCAAGCGACGTGGCCTGATGGGCTGCAGATACACTTATGCCGCGCACTAGATTGCACTTCATTCTGATGGTTTAAACTTGTAGCAAACTGAGGTATAGTCATGGTCCAGTATAATCTTATGAGCGTTTAAATGCGCATTCCCAACGTTCGCCACTGCTATCCTAGAAGTGGTAAACGGTCACTGTTTGGTAATCACTGACATTTGGTTACGTGGGAGGCAATCAAAAAATCCAGGGTGTTGTCTCAAATTCCACTGTGGTCGATCAAATCTTCTCATCTGTAAGGGCGGCCGCCGATTATCAGCCAGTCCTATCAGCGACTTCGGTAACTCATTGCATCTATGTGGTAGCTTCATGCCATAGTAGAAGTACCTGCTGCAAAAAATTCTATGGCTCTACTGTTGGGTCAGGAACAAGAGGTGTATCTATGCGACAAGTAAATAATGTCTTCTCTACCGTTCTCCTCCTCAATACTGGTGAACCGAAGTTAGTAGTCGATACTTCATAGGGTGAGATGACTATACAAATGCTATCGTCTCAATGTGGGCGGTGTGGAACGTTCAGCTTGACAATGGGCAGCTTATCTTCATCCTGATTAAGGGGGGTCAAGCGAGCATTGCATCAGTAACAAATGAGTTAACTGTGAATGCGTTATGTGCCCCGGCGATGGTCGAATGGCGCATGGACCCAAAACGAGTAACAGTCAATAACAGATGGCGCAATTTACCATTTATCACCGCTTCTCCTCTTTGCATTGCAGGGTAAACTTGACGAACGCCTCCCTCTGCTTAGCATCATGGTGCCCCGGCGACTGCGGCTAAGTTGGCCCGATGCCGTGAAGCACTTAAATGCCAACCAAGATCGACTGGTCACGCTGTTCGATGTGCACAGTACGCTGCAACACGTGCTGACCCAGCAATACGGTCCTCGATATGGCGGTAAAATGGCGCGATCGACTCGTGGCTATTCACTGTTTAGTGAAATTAACTCCGACAGGACATGTGCGCAGGCCTCGATCGCGGCACACTGGTGTAGTTGCTTGGAGTGGAGACCGTTATTACACAGTGAAGAAAACATGTTGTACTTGAAGAGACGTAACGGACACCCACTTTCCACCGCGGCGATCAACATGACTGTAACTCAGTACTTAAATGAACGAATCCGTATTTTACGGTCGCACATTCAGGAAGGTTGGCCAACGTGTTCCGATATACAAGTGACAAAGGTGAGTCCTACTCAGTATGATTTTAAATCTATGATCCGGTCTATTTTTGAAGTGAATTGCACCCTTTACTCAATTACTGATGCTGATGGACACCAACTCCTCGTAGCGTGACACTCAGACATGGGATACTGAGCAAAGTATAACTGTTACCCGTGACAGATGATGACCAACTTTATTCCTAATGTTATCCAAGCGGCTTAATGAGGGGAGATGTGAGAGACGCTCTGGACCACAATGTGCAGCATGAATTCAAGATGAAGTTATCGACTCCAGAAAATGGGCGGATGGGTTTAACTTATGGTTGCCTTCAGTGGAAACCTTATGATCAGTTGAAAGGAAGCACCAGGTATCAGTTGAATACGCAAAATTCAGCGAATATCAATGCTATTATAAGCCGCATCATAAATACACTTGTTCGCTTGCCTCCGCTTCTGGGCTCGAAATTCAACCAAGCAACAATTTTAAGAGCGCAGACTGACCACTTAGTTTAGAGAGATGATGAACAACAGTGTTCTTGCCACTAATGTGAAACACAATCAATGCTGATGTCTAGAAACCGAGAGGCGGCCGTAATCAAACCAGGTCGCTGTTCCGATCTGCCTCTTTGATCAAACCGAATAGGCTAAACCGAAACGTGTCATGATCGAAAGATACAAAAAGAACTTTGTACTCTACACATAATCAGGAAGACCCGTTCGATATTAATGGTGGATCAATCGCTTGTTTATCATTTCAAAGCTTCGTTAATTGCATTATGACTACCCACTAATGCATAAATCATGAATTTAACACACCCGGCGACAAATTGCATAACAAATACCACGATGGAAATAAAAGGTACGAGCAAGTCAGGACAAAAGAGGTCTCCTATAGGTGAGCGTATGTGCATTTGATGCGTTTACACTGCTACGCCAGAAACATAAAATTAAGGCATCGTGTAAATGCCGTAATTAGCATTGCAGTGGGACTGTGCATACTTACCTCTTGAGCAAGCGGTAGCACACCACAGGAGCGACGTTTGATGACTCAACAAATATGAACAATGACCAACGAGTAATCACAGATGTAGGTGTTTGTACTTTATAAGTCCCGATTGGTGGTATAGTAGGTTTTTGTGAACACAATAAACGGATAGCGATGGCACGTGTTCTCTTGAGAAGCCATCTTTTCACGTGAATAGGAGACAACAGGTCTACACCACCACTTATTTTAATGCACAGAATGCTTTCAGTCAATAAAGCAAATGCTTGTCGTAGGGAGCAAAAGAATCGGGAAGCTAATTTGTTGAAATTTAATCCAAGGAATCCTTCGTTACTGACAGCTATGACTAATGTCGGTCCTGAACCGACCGACTGGGAAAATAGAACCTACGGATGCAAGCGGTTAAGAATGTTCTACAGTATCCCAAAAGACGCAGTGGATTCTCATATTGGTCTTACCAATAAGTTCCAGCAAAGGAGGCTTGACAAGTCTCATTGGATGGTTGAGGTAAAACTACAAAATCAATAGATACGGGAGTCATCTGTTTAACCATCTACAGTGTTAGATGCGTTGCTGAATTACGATAGTGTAAAGTACAGATTAAATGGAACCCTCTAAACAACATGGGAAGTAGCCATGGCAGACGTGTTCTGGGAGAAAAAGAAAAGAAGAACGCTTACTCCTGTACCTCTTCCTCGGGTCCAAATGATACATGAATCTGGTTTGAAGACGTGATAAAGATAAACCACAGTAGCAAATCCTGGGTAACGTGGTGCTGAGAGATTAAGGTAATATGGTGTCGTTTTTTGTAGATATCCAAAGTATTGAGTTTGCCAGAGAGTTCCAAGGTTGGCAAACACGAAGCAAAAAGTACTTTCTGTCGACGACTCTTAATCAGTCAGTTTCAGACAGCTACCTCTGAGATTGGTGTCGTGGTTCAGTTTCAGCAAATGGCGGCATATATTTTTTGGGGTCACCCAACATTTGATCAAATAATATGAGATTGCCGCAGAGTTTTCGGTAGCGTCCGCTGAAAACTCCCAGTAATTTCAGCCTTTCACTACAAGAGAGATTATTTGGAGAGAGCATTAATGAACAATAAACGTAGATATTACCTTAGGGTTAAGCTTGCGGTATGCCACATTTAGCGTGTACTAGCTCAGCCAGAAGCTGTGAACCGTAACTACTAATTGCAGCTGCAGAAGGAAACTGGCGATCCAACTCAGGAACAATCGCCGATACCGTAATACAGGAGCTTGCAAAGAAGGATCCGATGATCTAAGTGCTCGAATGTCTTAGATTAATTTAGCTTGATCAAAACAACGCGTTCTATGACATCATCTAACTATCCGGCTTTCCTGTGCTGGTAACAGATCTGTGTTACGTCATCGCTGTCAGCAGATGCCGTATTAATCGGTAGCAAGAAGATTGTTGTTTCTGTGTGAACCACCAATACATATGCAATAATAGGTTCTACGCCATTGGACAGTTACTGTAGTGTAGTGAGGCTGTTAAACAATTTTTTACCGTTGTGAACTTGACTGATTATTCCAAGCTCGCACGTGGTAGGAGTCTGGTTCTTTTCCAAACATTGATGAAAGAGTAGAATCTAAGATTCTTATGTGTCTGTCACCGTGACTCTTGGTGCTGTTGGGCCAACGGTATGCACGGAAAGCAACCTGTGCATGTGTATGACGTTAGATTCTGCAGAACAAATTTAGCGGAAGAAGTTATGTAGCCCCATCTTGGTAAAAGCTCTCATGCCCTTACAGCTCACTGAAGTGTGATAACAAATTGCATGTGCGGAAAGTCAGCCGTTTCTATGACTGTTCCTCTAGTTGTTCGGATAGGAGGAGATCTCCGCCGTACATTACGACCTCCACTAATGCATTCGTAGTAGTAGTTCGTACTTAGCACTGTTTTTCTGTAGCTACGCTGCGTTGTCTTCTCGGAAGAGCCGAGTGTAGCGGTCACAGCGGGTTTCATCAGTATTCAAAACAGCATGAGTTAGTGAAAATGTATACGTTCCTCATGTTGCACTGCGTACTGTGATGCAATGCTTTGGTCAGTTCCTTGCGAAAGAATGTCTATGATTCGACCACAAGCTTTTATCGATAAGGTCTGTTCCAGCTGCCTACTAAAGTAGCTGTCGCATTCAATGCAGACCGCCAACGGAGGTACTTCAGCGAAGGAAAGACTAGGATATAACACTGACAAGGTCAGCCAATTGTTCGTAGTATGCAACAGTGCTCAACGCCTCAGTAGCTTTATTAGCTTATCTTGCAAATTAAGCGATGTTAGAGATAGTATTATTATTGCCGTCCAAGGAGTAGGTTTCAGACATTACGTTGCATGACTGCTCCTTGTCGATAACCACAGAAGCGTAGCATAGGAGGACTCGGGATGCATGTGACAATGGGCGGCATTTTCAGTACCGTCTGGTGTTCGATACCAAATATAAAGGGCAAAGTATCGGATAAGTTGAGGGTTGAAACTGTTAATGTTACTCTGTATGATCAACAGCACATTTGCTCCATGTGTCACATCTGCGCAAACGTTCTTCCTAGCAATCCCCTTGTTCCATTGTGGTCACTTTGACCACATTTAAGTGTCAAAAACGATCAACCGTTTCGTTGACAAATAACGTGCACTTTACCCTGAGTCCGTGGCGTGGCCTTTCACGCATCTATTTCGCTTACACTAAGGGAGAAAATTCTGCCACCTCCCCCGGGCGGCAGAACAGTTGCTCCGCCACTGGGTAAGCATAACGTGTAGCAGACGTAGTAAATAAGCTACTTTGACCACAGCTTTCCGCAGGTAAAGAGAAAGGTTACAAACAGATGTATAAAAAACGTAACGGTGGACTTACAGTCAAGTTTAAGTATACACATTGCTTGGTTACCTTGTCCCCTGTCCCAGTAACTTGGGTTAACTCCTGTGGTGCAGGTGGTTATAATTCGTCATCAAATCGAATTGTAAATTCGGACAACGTAGGAGCGGAGATAACAGAATGCGAAAGCAAGTTCCAAGACTGGGATATACGAATGAGGAAGACGTTCCGGTAACATTCCAACCGGCCATACTGAAGCCACTAATGGTGGTCTCTCAGAGGTGTGTTGCGGTTGAATTTCAGTAAGGTCGGCATGGGTGGTTAGGATTCTTGAGGACCTGATACACCAATTTGAGATTATCTCGCAGAAGACGATGTTATTCACTGAAATGCCTAAAGTCTGCAGTCCAAGCTGGTAAGGGAGGTTGGGAAATCTCTTAAAATGTCCTCCCCCTCTCTTGTGGATCCCAAGAGCAGTAAGGTCATGTTTTTGCCAAGGGGCCACACTTGAATGGCGCTTCTAACATGTGGCCTCACTTACGCGCTGAGCCGTTGCTAAAAGAAGGTAGGATCGAACTGACCAAATGCCTTCCTCAGTAGAACTATGTGTTGGGTGGTAATTTTTCACTAGTTTCGCTGCCTATTTCGGGCATCCGAAATTGTCCTGCATGCACACCCCAAGCTCGGTCTCATGAGAAGCTCGCTGCATATAGTATTTTCCCAGGTGCGGTGGTGGCATGTGCTCATTATTTTGTACTTGACAGACTTAAGGTTGTCACCTTGCAATGCTATCTTGTCATCCATTTACTTGATTGTGAACCAAATCGTGAGCTCATGCACAAAGATTAGCAATTTGACGTAAACACTCCCGCGAGATGGTTTATGAACACTAGGAATGGCCATGCTCTTAGTACGTAGCCTTGAGAAGCGCCACAGTGAAACAATGTCGGGTCGGACAGAGCGCTTCGAACCTACACATGCAAGCGTCGTTAATGTAGGGATGAATGTATCCTGCCCAGGATACGGTCACCCGTGGTCACCCCGTGGCTCCAAATCTTGTAAAGAAGAATGTGGTGGGCTAGGCGATCAAATGCTTTGCAGATCGACCGTTGGTAGTGCCAACAGTTAGGAAGAAATGGAAGCTGAACGCACCCACAATGAGAATGTTGGCATATTTCGGAGTTAGCTCACACTCTAGGTTGTTCTTAAGTAGTGGGGACGATAAACCCAGGTCACAAGAAAGGTGTATCTGCCTCTTAGTTGTGAGCGCTACTACGGATAATCAAGAACCAGAGTCCCT